GGGGGGAGGTATTTATTCAATGGAAGTTTTTCCTCGGTGTTATTCGGGATCACGAAAGTCGGGGTAGCATGGAGATGGTATTCTAGTAATTAAGTGGGTATCAGGATTTGACATGAAATGCACTGGTTGTTCTCAGCCAGGACGCTTGGAAAATTTTAACACTTTCACGGATTAAGTGTTTGTAACTTGAGCGAGAAGAGGCTAATATTAGCTCATGGCCAGAAACATATAGGAACGACGATACATGGCGAGTGTGTCTTTACAGGCTTACCTGATGGTTTTATAAGGGATGGGCAATGATCCCACGCATGGCAACTCTGCTGTCTTAAGCAAATGGGTGGTGTGCAAGAGGGTTGCCATTAATATAACAGTAAATGGTGATTTGAATACAATGGTGACAGCGAACACATTTTTAAAGATAACGTCACGACACCGGAAACGACAAAAGATACTAAGTCTCCTGTTAAAAGTTTCCGTTGCATTATTCGAGAAAAAAGCCCTTGTCATTCAGACCCACTAATATGCCGTCAAATTATCATGTTCCACGGCAGATATACCGGAGTAGGTATTGTGAAGTATGTAAGCACGTTTGGATGCATGTGCGTTGATTCCCCCACATGCCGAGATCGACCAGACTAATGATGTATCAGATCACCTCAAATGATCGGCTGTAATACGGACGCTGGTGCTGACAGGCATGCAATCCAACAAGGCTATCCATTGTACACATTAGCTTTGTAGCAAAAAGGCCCATGTGCGGTGTTTAACGTTAATACGGTAAAAAATTGTTTACTATAGAATAGTATGCTAGGGGTTTACTATATAGGTGTAAACTGCGCTTATATATACCTATAAATAGGTTTAAAGTAGTAGTTTACTTTTATAGTAGGGGTTTAAATTAAGTATAAAAAGTAGTTTTATTTCTATTATACGCTATAATACCTAACTAAGACTAAAAGGGGTATAGAAGATTAGCTTCACACTATACGCATATATGACATAATAATAAGTTATAATATTTTTACTAATAGGAGGTGGTGATAGAGGTGGTGGAGGTGGTGGAGGTAGTAGAGGTGGTGATAGAGGTGGTGGAGGTGGTAGAGGTGGTGATAGAGGTGGTGGAGGTGGTAGAGGTGGAGGTGGTGAAGAAGATTAAAGAAAGGAGGGGTAAAATACTTAAACAGTTAGTAGGAAACTAGTTATTACTACGTAATACTAGTAGATTACTAGAAGTAGAAATAAAAGTAGAATACATAGTATAGTAAACCCTATTTAGGTTTACTTCTTCTACCTAAACCACTTCTTAGTCTACTTTAGATAAATATGGCTACTGTAAACCGGTTTTGTACCGTAGTGCGTATCTTCCAGGAAAACCCAAAACTCTAATTCTGACCGCATAAAGCTGTCATCTTCCCAAACAGAGTGTATTTATCACATGTCCACGTTTTCAACTACCTGTGCTGTTTTACTATCCTAGAGTTCTATCCTAAGATTAGCTCTCACTTCGAGACCAAATATGAAGCTCACCATACCTGCTTGCCTTCTATTCATCACTCACACTGTCTACGTAAGTAAATAATAAAAAGCATTCCTACCTATATCTTCTTCTCCCTTAGTCTGATTCTTGACCATGTATTCTAATGACACACAAACAATAGGGAGCATTTTTCGATATGAATTGCACTTGTTCCGCGCTTCCTACTGTTAAACCTGAACAAATTGCTGATGCAACAAGGAAGTTCTGCGGTACTGATTCTTTCAACATAGGGGTTGAGTTGCCTGATGTTGGGCATCACCGTGGAAAAATTATAGACGGAGCATGTGATTTACATCATTTGAATCAAGGAAACAAACCAAGGCGCGGACAATGGACAGCAGCATGGGGTCGTTGCTGTATTGCTACTGACTCGTCTCTGACTGGTGGAACATGTCAGGCGCCGGCGGAAAGGAGCAGATGAGTTGATTTGCAAATTTCGCCCACATATAGTTAATGCGTTGACAAAGGTATCAAATTCTAGTATCTCAAATGTTTCAAGGGCAGCCAATGTCTGCTGGAAAAACAAAATTATTTTCTGAGGAAGGCAAGCCCTTAAAGCGCATGGGTGCTTGAATGCGCGGTCTTAAGCGCCCAAAAAGGGTATATTATATTCCTAATTATAACTTATTTGAATGAATTATTGGAGGTTTCAGCAAACCAATTTTGGCTTATCACAGTGCTTCCGCACTGATCGAAGAGGCATATCGCCCCAAAGTGCCACGACATCAGGCCCAAGAATCAGCGTCAAAATCGGTCTCTTCATATGCGGTATTAACACTTCCAAGCAATACATCAAAGTAGCAAGAGCAGATGATGAATTTCCTTTGGGAAATATTTGCCTGCGAAAGGGTCAGGATGAGAGAATGAATTCTCACCTCCCAGTCATAAATGACATGCTAGAGATGCATAAAGAACAACGAGGGAGTACAGAAGGAAGACCGAGGCATGATGCTTCTACACTATGGTACCCCAAGACATGCCGTGCGAAGAAGCTGCCATAAGCACCATTCGATATCCCCAAGACAGGAATCATTTTGACCTTAACGACTTCTTGACATTTGAAACATGTAGAGTTCAGCATAGACTTTCTCCAAGCGAACCTTTATGTAAATGAGGGTCGCTTGTTTCTTTTGGAAGGCGCTACATATTGTACAGCAAGACGACAAAAGTTTGCTGGGTTTTCTTGGTTATTCAATATTAGAAATACCAAGCAAAGTGGGTCATGCATCGAACAGATGGCACCTTTTGAATGTATGGCAGCATGTTCGTAGAATGAGGAAGCATGAACACAGCATTATATACACCCAGTAACTCCATAAAGAATCTCATGAGTGGATCTCTCCACAACGTTCATAGCCCCATAAACCGTCTCGCTATACTTTTTGCGAAAGATGTTACAAAGTATGTTTAGTTTCAACAATGTCCAAATACATCGTCATGCCTAAAAAGGATACTGTATCCCCTCTTCCTCCTCTTTACTAACATCTAATCCTCCTCTGACTTGCTCTTTATGCATCCTGTCCAGGTACTCTAACAAGACATCACCATACTTTTCCTTTCCTTTGTACTTGCCCACATCGTCGCCCCAGCTGCGAATTGCGCTGGCGAGCCGACCAGGGACGTAGGGCTCCTTGCAGATATCGGTGATAGGATGAAAGTAGGTACGAATAGTGAAGACGACACCACCAGTTTTGGGGAGGCTTGGTGGTATTAGGAGATGGGTATGATGATTGGGTCGCACAACTTACCGTCTTAGACTCTGTCTTTCGCTTCTGAAGTAGTGATGCTGGATTGCTCTATTCTTCTCTGCCTGCACATTGTCGCATTAGTTATATATACTAGCTGAATATGTTCACGTTCAAGTGAAACTTACTGTGAACCAACCGATGCCGTCTTCGTCTTCACTTCCAATACTGCTACTCCATGCCAAATTGTCGTCAACTTGAATGAAGTAGTTGTTCCTCAATACTGGATTCTGTTCGCACAAGTCAACTGCCCATCACTTACATAATACATCATCATTATAATCCCATAATACTCTCACAGGCCAATCGCTACCTCTACCGACTCTTTCAATTCCCACCGTTCCATCCCAGGACACAGGAAACGCCACTCACCTCCGGCCTCACCCGCCTAAAGAAATTCTTTAAACCCTTCTCCAACTTCTCTTTGTACCCAGGGACATCCCCACTACTATGAATCTCCCCAACCTGCATCCCAAACTTATCCCCCAGCCTCCAAAACCCAGGCAGCAGAATCGCACCAGCGAGGAAATAATACTCGCCATCTTCCCTCTCCACCATAATCGCAAGATCATCCTGCACCAGTCTTGCCGCAATCCTCATGGGATCCTCCACCACCATCATCCCCTGCCTCAAGACACGCGAGCAAGCAACATCGAATTCCTCGCCCGTCGCTAGATTCTTGATCCCGTTGCCCGTCGTGCGCGAGAAAAGTGTCGGATACCGTTCCCCCAGGTATCCTGCTAATTCATGCAATAGTTCGAGCGCGGCGGGATACGCCTCTGGTGCAGTCCGCACGCATTTGTCCCCCCGCGACGCCATCCGCTCCGCTTTCAGGGCGTGGTAGGTTAGGTATTGGTTGTCGAGTTCGATCCAGGAGGACCAGGGCATGGTGCGGAGCCCGAGGGATACGTTGTATTTAGGGCCGTAGCGGAAGGGGCGGTAGGGGAGGGGCTTTGTGGTAGTGAGGGACCAGTTTGGGTAAGGAGGGGCAGGGGGCCGAGTGAAGGGAGAGGGGTGCCATACTGAAAGATGTAAGTGTTGTGGTAGTGGAATACTAGGGGGGGGAGTAGGAGAGGGCTCACAAACCTCCTGGTGGTCGTTCAGGCGCTTTACTTGTGGACCGCTTTTCGAGGCTGGGGCTGCTGGGACGGATGGGAGTGGGGAGGCAGTGTAGGAGGCGCAGGAGGGTTGGTGCTAGCCAGAATAAGGTGAGGAACAAAAGAATTACGTATAAGAAGGCTTGCGGCTGGTTATTTGCGTGTTGTAGAGTACGGTTAAGTTTTCCTTGTGCTTGGGAATAGTGGTGTTGCGCTGTGCGACCAAGCACTCTTGCACGCTCTACAAACTGCGAAGCGAAAATATCCATGGTCAAATGGTGGAAGGACACAAACGGCTGATAAGATAAACAAGATATGTTCACAGGATGAATGATGAATCAAGTATACGAATTGACAATGCCAGAAATGCATTAGGAAGAGCACATGATTACCTTACACCCAATGACGTATATGCGTGGCGTACCTTGCAACTTTCTCTTATTATACTAATATACGAACACACCTGCTGCGATAATGTCAAGCAACAAGCAGCCATTGACTGTGGCGTGTAATTTTCCAAGAACTCAGCTCCCGTTGGTAATGCATCAAGGATCCCAATACCCCACTCGGTTAGTATGAACATGTTCAAGGAGCGATAACGAAAATTGCCAAGCATCGATATCCCGAGGATGATAACGGTTAAGGTGGGATTTACTCGAGCCACAGGTAATCATTTCTGGGATTCTCGGTGATTCCTGTGCCCTGGGAATACCCGAGTATGACGTTGGAAAATATCTCGCTGCACTGGCCAGCTGTCGGTCTCCACAGCATCTTTCATCATGTAGAAGCTGGACTGTTTAATACTATGAACTTTTACCACTTGTACGTCGCAATAGACAGTACTGGCCCCACTGTCTGCGAAACTTGGCTGGAATGAATGGAAGCTCTGGAATCCAAAGCAAGCGTCCGAGAATGTGTGTTTGGCTAGCATCAAGAAATGGCACACACTTGAGCTTCTCCCAATGCTCGTCCTGGGAGATGTAGTCTGGCTCAAGCTCTGTCGGTGATGATCCAGGAAGCTTTGAATCCACAAGGAAGTCACAGTGTTCTATTTCAATCTGATTTTATCAGCAAGTCGAATTTCCGGCAGTAAATATACTTACATATTTCCCAGGGTCTTCCAAATTCTCATCATTCATACCAGAAGGCACAAACCATGTTCCAGGGTACAGGCCAAACCCGACGTTTGCCTCGCTGAACTCGCCGGGGAGTAAACCTTTGAACTCGCTCTTGATGAACTTGGCACGTACTCCGTGAGGAAGATTGAAAGATGATGGAAAGCGATACCACTCTTTCCCAAGACAGACAGTGTCTCCCGGTCGGGCAAAGCCTGCATTGTGCAGAGGCTTGTAGACATTGAGGGGAGCAGAGTATGCGGTAAGAGTGCCTATGAGTTACGATTGATCAGCCCAGAGTGGTGAGTATGTTAGGAGGGTATGGTTCTCTCGCACAAGTGCGGGAACGAGGTCTAGGCCCAGAGGGAGCGCGTCGAGCGCAAAGTTCAAGATTGTGAAAGCTTACCAATTGTTCGAAGCATGCCAACATTGAAAGACAACAGTAGCGGAGTGACTACAACCATAAGCTTCAGCTGCGGAGGAATTTTGCTGACAAGACGTCGCGGGTCAGTCGAGCCAAAGTTGGCCAGTAATATATGCAAGGAAATGGCAGCATTCAATGCCAATGCAGGATAAGCCGGATACATGAACCGCTCTTCCTTATGAGGTTGGACCGTGAATATCGCCAGCCAAAAGTAGAAGGGGCTGACAAATACGATGCTTCGTAGAAGGGACTGCTTAAGTATAGGCTTCGAGTCGGCCATGTTCAAGATCAATTGCTGGACGAAAAGCAACGGCAAAGCGCCGAGCGCGAGGAAGAACCATATGTTGAAGTTGAGGGCGAGATTGCGAATGTAGAAGTGCCAAGGTTCGACACCATAGATGTCAGGTCCTCTACTTCCGCCACTGAAGACATTGTATAGAACAATGTTCAGCGGTACACATACGAACTTCTTGTAGAAGAATGAGTCGATTGCTGTTTGAACAGCGAGGACAATCAGTGATCTGAGACCACCTTGGAACAGTCTCCAGAAGCTTTGGAAGACCTCTCCTGTTACAGCTGCCAAAATGACTTCCTCAGCAATAAATGGCATTACCAGGGCGCCAGCAAATGGCCAACCAAGGGCAGCGCCAATACCAAACCAGGTGATACCCTGTGCAGTCCTCATGAAGCCTCCTGACCAGTCCATGAAGGCCGAGAAACCTAACATAGTCGTATACATGGCGAATGTCGATGGGAGATAGGCAGGAGCTGCATGGTACATGCCTGGACTAGTAATCATGGCAATCATGAAGAAGATTGCTACACGGGGGTTGAACGTTCTTAAGATGACTGAGTACAGACGTGTCTGGCAAGAAGCGCAGATGATCGCTAGAGTAGCTCGAAGGAAGTAGAATTCCAAGACTTTGGAGTTGCCAAACCCTAGAGCTCTGAGGGGAAGCATGCCAATCCACAACCAAAGCGAGTGAAGTCCAGCGTACATCCAGCTTCGAATGGCGTATTCAGGGGAGTATTCCCAGGTTTGAAGGCCGTAGCCATGGTTGAGGTAGTGGCTCGGTTCCCAGTAGTTGAAGACCTCATCGCAGTCCTGGATTGGAGAGAAAGTGGCAGCGACCAAATTCGCAAGAAGAAATACATAGAAGGCGACAAGAGGATCGATCTGAGGTGGCCCGCCAGAAGATCTATGGTTGAGTAAGTGTCTATATGTATGCCAGTGATAGTGACGCACGTGGTCAAGAAGACCATGCAAGGCATTCTCGACCGTACTCCTACCGACGGTACTGTATCGGCTGCTCACCTGCTCGCTATGTTCGACGACTGAGCTGCAACAGCACTAGCCTTTGTTCTAGGCGCCATACTTTTCAGTTGAATTTGCTTCTGGCACAATGGCCAACACAATGATACATGAGACGAATATACACTACGGCACGCTGTGAAAGTGAAAAGTGACCACGGTTGCCCTGATACGCGTACCGGGCGATCTCCCACTCTAGCGCTGGTCGACATCGTACATAGGGCTGACGCGTCTGCACGCTCCTCTTTGCCAAGCCCCGCTAAGTCGATGCAAAAAGGCAACGTCTTCTCACTCCTCTCCCCCCGTCCAAATCACCGCACGCGTCTACATAAGCAAACTGGTGCAAAACAGACCGCAGTTGTATTCGCAACATTTACGTGTGCTTCAAGATCTTGTCAGAGGCGGACTAGCATGTCTGACTCTCTGGAACCGCCGGCCAAAAGGGCCCGGTTGGAGGCGGACGCTCCCATCTATGGCGCATCTGCACCTGCGCTGGACGCGCCTGGTTCGCCGGTCGATGACCTAGACGACGACTTTTACGATAATTCACCAGTCAAACCGTCTGCGCTGCCTGCTGTGGAAGGGACGGCATCGATGTTTGCTGCGGCTGCACCCGCGCCTGTGGGCTTTCATCTCCCTGGACTCGGCTCAACGAGCGAGGCCCACGCCACGCACGCTGCCCTCCCCGTCGCTGCAGAGGCGCACGAGGACGAGGCGCCTGAAGATGGCGAGCTGTCGGACGACGAGGCCTTCTACAATGACGCCAGCGCAGTCGCTCCTCCTGCAGCCAATCAGGAGCAGGTCCTGGGCGATGCTCCACAGCACGGTAAGCTGTCGCGCCTTGAGTCTGCCTGCCATGTACAACTCCCTGACGTTTGCTCCAAAGATGCTGCTGCCGCCTCGCCCACTGTCGATACTGACGGCGAGCTTGATGCCGCCCTCACTGCAGCTATAGAACACCAGAATCAGCAGGACCGCGCCGAAATTGAGGCTGCTGCCGCCCAGGCATCTGATGCTGCCATCATCGACAGCAAGCTTGAGTTTTTGCGCGCCGCAGAGGCAAACAGAGATAACAAAGATGCCGAGTGGCAACTAGATTCGGACGCTTCAGACTCTGATTCGTCGTCTGACTCGTCGAGCTCTGACAGCGATCAAGAAGGTGGCTCGGATGATGGCGAGCTGCTTGATCCCGAGGAGCAAGTGCGCTTGCTGTTGGAAGAAGCCCTAGAGGAGGAGCCGGGCCCCTCGGGCAAAGCCAAGGTCAAGACTCAGAATGAGGTCGATGAACAGTACGAAAAACCTGACATCACAATGACGGACGATACCAAAGTCACAGAACTGGGTAATGTCGAGTCAGTCGTTGAGAATCTTGTCCTGATCAAGGGAAACACATCTGGGGACTACCAAGTTCTTGAGTCTGGCTCAGCGTTATGTTTACAGAACCGCACTGTCATCGGAAAGGTTTCCGAACAGATTGGGCGGGTGGAAGAACCCCGTTATGCCCTTGGTTTTAACGATGCAGCAGAGATCACAGCTCTAGGTATACAAAAAGACACGCCCATATATTATGTCAACGAGCACTCGACTTTTGTCCTCACAGAGCCTTTGCGATACCAGAAACATACCGATGCGTCCAACCTGCATGACGAAGAGACCAACGAGGTCGAATTCTCTGATGATGAGAAGGAGGCGGAGTACAAGCGAGAACAAAAGGCCAGGAAGCGGGCCAGGACAGAGGGCAGCGATGAGCCTGCACCCACACCAACTGTATCGATGCCAATACCCACAGGCCCCAGGGCTCAGGTCGAGGCACCCATGGCATACCGTTCCATGGAATACCAAGGAGGAGGCTTGAAATATAGTGACGACGAAGACGAAGACCTTGGTATGTACAAGCCGCTTGCGAGACCAGATCATTTTGAGCAGATTGTTGGACAAGGTGCACCACTCGAGGACCGCAGTCACGTACGCAGAGGCATGGGCCGCGGAAGAGGGCCCTGGGGTGACCGTGGACGCAGTTTCCGAGTCAGGGGAGGATTCACTGGCCGTGGTGACTTTAATGCTGGTCAGGGCAACAGGGGGGGTTTTGGCGGCGGACGTGGGGACTTTGGAGCTGGTAGAGGAGATCGCGGAGGACACGGAAATCGTGGTGATCGAGGTGGCAACAACAATCGAGGCGACCGCGGTGGACGTGGGCCCAAGGGTCAGGCTGATCGCGGTGGCAGACAGCAGGACCAGTTCCAGAACCGACAGCCAAATCAGCAGAAGAATGGTTCTCAACACGATGGACGCTCTGCCACCTCAGCCTCGCCAGCCCGCCAGCAACAGGACCGTCAAGGCTCTCAGTCACAGCAAGGTCGTGAGCAGTCCCAAGCACAGCCCTCTCCGGCAACGGGCGGCAAGAACAAGAACCGAAAGCAACGACAGCGCGAAAAGAGAGAGCGAGAACGTCTCCAGCAACAGCAGCAGCAGCAGGGACAGCAACCAGTTCAACCGCAGGGACAGCAACATCAGCAAGCTCAGAAGCAGCAACAGCACTCTTCTCCAGCACCTTCTGGCCCCTCAAACACTAATGCATATGCAAATAACAGTAATACAGGATGGCCAGCACCCTATTCGGCTCCCCCACAACCTGTTGCCAATTTCGGTCAGGTGCCTGTACCGCCACCACAAGCTGCCGTGACATCGTACCCTTATGCCGCATTTGCTGCTCAGGCTCAGCCGCAGCCGCAGCCGCAGCCGCAAGCACAAGCTGGAGGGCAGGCAAATATGGCAGCATGGGCACAGTGGCTCCAGCTCGCCGCAGCCATGACCCAGCAGCAATCATCACAGCCATCAGTTCAGGCGGCAGCTCCGCCTCCACCTCGGCCTGTACCTCAGCATCAAGCAGGGATGCAGTACTCGTACCCATATCAACAATATGGTCAGCCTGCTCCCCCTGCTAATCCGCAACAGCAGGGCAATGGTCAGGCTAGCACGCAGTCTCTCCAAGACATTCTGCGAGCGCTTGGTGGAGGTGGCGCACCTCAGTAGGCCTGTGTTTACCACTTGGGGGTGTCAGGACTCCCCATGGGTGGCTGTCAAAGTACAGGATGTTTGTTTTAGAAAGTGTGTCGTTTGTATAACTATGGTAGCAGAGTATTAGATATGGTGCCTTCTCTTTGCAGCGCTTCGACAGCGAGGAACGGAGCTAGTACAAGGAAGGGGTGGATGGGGACTGGTTCGACATGTTAGGACTGAGCATAGTTATAAATGACTCTCACCGTCCGTCTGACCTTGTTACCATGCCGCCATGACGATGCTCGAGGGAATTCTAGGACTTGGGCCTTTGGCCTTGGACTGGGCCTCGGGCAAGACAAAGCAAGAAGAAGAAAAACCACTCCACCTCTCAGATGGACAGACTAAAACAGATGAGAGACGGGAACAAGCTTTCCCAGTCGCACGGTCGCCAGTCAAGAGTACAGTGTTTGCACGGCGGAGAGAGTGCCGACGCACGTAGGTACGGTAGCTTGCTCGCAGACCGACCTCGTTGCGGCCCTGTCTCGTGTCTTGTATCACCCAGCTTGCACATTTTCGCGCCGGGCTCGGCATAAGCCAGCTGGGGTACCTACGCCAGGCAGTTGCCGTTGCAGTTGCAGTCAGACGGCAGACGGATGGATAAAAGTATACGTACAGGTATAGGTACGAATGCATGTTGGGCGTTACACTTTAGATGCAGTGCGGCACTTGTACTTGTACTTTGCATCTAGCTGGGTAGGTAGCACTTTTTTTTTTTTTTTTTTTTTTTGGCGCATTCAATGCGGATCTCCTCCCCCCGAGCGCGCTCCCTTTCGCTCCTTTCGACCCCGCAGATTCGTTCCGCATAGGGCTGGGGGCGCAGCTCGGGCGTCCTTGATTTATTTTTTTTGCGCTGTTGCCGAGACATGGATGTAGATGTGGGGGAGGGCGGTGCGAGACTAGTCTGGGAGGAGGATTTGTTTTTGCGTGTGGGTGGTGAAAGGGAGGGGGAGTGTGGGAAGGGGGTGTTGGGAGAGTTGGGAGGTGGGGTGGGAGTGTGAGGGAGAGGGAGAGGGAGAGGGGTAGGGGTTGTCGGTTACGGGCTAGGCTGGATGGGATGATGGGGTGTGTGCGTGTTTTTGTGGAAGAAGGAAGAGAAGGAGAGGAGAAGGATGTGTGTACTAGGATACTGGCGTCAATGATATCTTATCATCGTGCACAGGCGTGCACACTGCAGGGCCTGCTGCGAACGATGCTCGAGCTGGCGGTGGGCGTGGGCGTGGGCGTGAGCATGGCTGTACAGTAAGCGTGGCGTGCAGCGGAGTGGAGTGCAGGTACAGCAGACACGGTGAACTGCAACAGAATACACGCGCTAAAACAACTTGGGCAACAGAGCGATGGGGTTGAAATCAAGCAAGCAAGAGAAGCAAGCGGCGCCAGATGGATATCGATCATGGCATGCCTAGCTAGGCCCTCGTGACGTTTTGCTGGTGGGAGCGGCGCGAAACACTACTCTGCTCTCTCCTCTCCTCTCTTTGGGTGAGTACTTTGTACTTTGTACTTTGTCCTGGTACTGTGTGTGTGTGTGTGTGTGTGCTATGTACAATACAGGCAAGCTTGTAGCTGGTTCTAGGCGGCTCCGGGGGCCCGTCGCGGTGGGTGCCCGATGGCCGACCCCAGTGCAGGTGGCGCAAGCTGGCTCGGGTGGTGAGCGAGCATCCGCTGCCCCAAGTCTGTCCAAGTGGAGCCCGCAGTTACAGTGTGTAGTAGTGGGTTGGTGTACCCTACCTATTGGTGCAGTGTGTATAGTGAGTGGTGTATTGTATCCAAAGTCCCGCGTGTGTGTATGTGTGTAGTCCCCAAGCCATATTGGCCGGGTGCGGTTCAAGATTCGCCCATCATTGACGACAACCATAACGAACAACAGCATCCTCCACCTCCTCTACCACCACCACCCACCCCCTCCCCCCCCCCACCACTAGTACCACTACCAGTACCCAAGCAACAACGCCCGTTGGAAGCAGCCTGTCTGTCGCTTTTGCTCCTCTTCCTCCCCCACACTCCCCCTTCGCTCGCCCGCCGCACCGCCTTGCATACCCGCCTCACACTGCGCCAGAATTCCCGCCCGCAACAAAGGTGGCCGTCCACCGTCTCTACCTACCGTCCAGCGTCCAGCGTCTACCGTCCCCAATCGCCGTGCCTGCCCGCGCCTGTTGCCCGCCGCGCCCGACTCTGCCCATGTGCACACCAACAGCCGTGGCCCCGCCTCGATGAAGCAGCCGTCCTAAGGCTCTTCTGCGCAAGCAGCCCTCGACCCCCATCACGACGTCGCTGCCCACCAGCCCGCCGCCGCCCACGGGCGCATCACATCCTCTGCTGCCCCGCCTGCCGCCCCCATGACGCGCAACGACGCTGCCGTCGATCGCCATGGCTCCGCCGAGAGCTCGTGGAGCTCGCGCTCGGCTGACACCGTACGGCCCTACGCACGCGGCGTGCATCGCGGCACCCCCGTGACGGTCAAGACGACTAAGGACCCGAACCAGCCGTACGTATAGCCTTGTTGTTTTTTGTTGTTTTGTTGTTGTTTTGTTGTTGTTCTGTTGTCGCCATCGTTATTTTCGTTGTTGCTGTGAAGCCGTGCTTTTGTTTCGTCTGGTCTGCTCTGCGACAAGGCAGACGACCGCTGGGCAGCCTGCGCGCACTGTGCGTCCTCGATGGCTCGTCCTGTCGTCTGCCCCTCGTTGGTCAGGTCGCAGAGCCTCGACAATGCGCCCCACGCGTCTGTCGCTGCTGCTGGGTCGGCTGCCAAGTCGTGGCTGTTGTATCTGTCTCTCGTCTGCCGTTTCGAGCTCTTGCTCGAGCACACCCCGTCACGGCCAACCGCCAATGTCCTAGCCCAGCCTTTGTCTCTCCCCGTCTCACTGCCAGACAGCCATCCACACGGCTCGTGAAGACCGCCTGACCTCTGCTAACACCCGCCATGTAGCATCGAAAAGGAGTCAGAGATCTCGCCTGGCACCCTTCCCCCCGCCCCTCCCCCAAAAGACACTTCCCATCGTTTGCGAAAGCCTCCCCATTGGGACCCGCCCCCACCGACCCATACGCTTGGAGACCACCGGAAACAGCTGGCTGTGTTGGAACCCTCGGGGATCAGATTGCCGTCTATATCGCGCAATCCACCCACAGCCTCGAGCATCCCGCAGCAGACTGCGCCCTGGGCCGCTACGCCAAACGGACCCAACATGTCGAACAACAGTGTGTGGAGCAGCTTCTTCAATGACTCCAACGAGGACGTCGCGCAGCTTTCGCCAGGATTTCAACGCCCTGGGACGGATGGCAGGGAAGACAGCATGGGCTTTCCACTCAAAGACGACCGACGCCCGTCCGTCGCAAGTGCTACTACTATCAGCAGCACTGGCTCCAAATCAAGCATCAGCCGTAGTTTTCACAAGAGACTGAAGAATGTGTTTGGCGAGGACTTTCCAGCTGATGGCCGACAAAGCTCGGAAACCAGCTTGCCATACACGGGGGATACGCAGTCGCTGCGTGGGCAGAGGAATCGCGGAAATTCCTTGAACAACACCATTGGCAGTGGCCACCACTCTCGCCCCGCTTCACCAACCAACTCGCGCCCACGCACCCCACAGCCCTCTTCAGAAGTCACGCCCTGGGACTTCCAGGAATCCAAGGTACGTTCTGCAATCTCGCGGGTATAGTTAGGGAAGGCACCAAGGCACCCAGTGCGCCCTGTACCTTCCTCCGCCCAACCTTTCGTCATCGGTTGCAAACTCGGAGCGTTGTCGGTGCTAATATCTGGCAGGACGTGCCGACCCCCGGCGAGAATGGAGGCAGACGCTCTTCTGATGTGCAGATTGGCAAGGCGAGCAACCGCGCGCACAAGCTACACGTAAGACTACCAGGCCATAACCATCGATCAAAAGGCAGCAAAGAAGAGAATAAAGTGTCTGAAGCCCAAGCCCTACCACAACCACAACCCCAGGCACAGGGACAGGCACAGGCACGTACAGACATCAGCCAGCCGTACCCCCTGGGACGACCTGCCACCAGTCGCGAAGAGTCAGCCTACAGCATCCGCCAGAACCAAAACCAGCAGTACCCCTCGGCGTTGAGCTCAGCTTTCGCTTCCAAGATCAGTCTGCCTGGACGTCCATCGAGCCCGACACCAAGCTCTCTCTCTGACATAACGCGAGACAACCCATCAGCACAAAGGTCCCCAAGTGTTGCCAAGTCATCACACGGTCTGTTTGCGCGGTTGCGCGGGAAAGACAAGACCAAGGACAAGACAGATCTAGTAGCGACACCAGAGTATCTGAAGACACTAGTGAATTCAAGTACTGCATCTGCCGTCTCATTGCCTCCCTCGATCAGTTCGACACGAGTGCCGAGGCCAGAGCCCCCACCGATGAGCAAACGACAGCCGACTAATTTTGCCATGGAGGACAAGGTTTCTGCCAACAACACCCGAAGAGCGCCACATCATCGCCTGCCAACCTTCAGGAAAACCCCGCGCATGCCTACCGGTGAGGGCCCAACCGGCAAGGACCCTAATGAGGCCGTCATGAGTACCGCTGGCAATGATGCCGTCTTCTGGTTAGACCAAAATCTGAATGATATGGAGGGCATTGTCAATCCACAACAGCCACCTATGACTCCCCCTGTGGGCGAGCTACAGAAACAGCCTACGCTCCCTGGAGATGACATTCCACCGCCTGGAGCTGACGATGATGGCACTGCAGCGTGGGATGCCCCAGATTCTTGGGCCGTGAAACGGATGAAGGACGAGATGGACCGCCTCGGCGAGCTGGACGAGTCTGGTGAACGGCTAAAGGAAGACAGTGATACGAAGACGTACTGCCTGCGCATTTTCCGCGTGGATTCTACTTTTGCAACACTCTCGGCTACTCTGGCTACCACTGTCCAGGAGATTATACAGATTTTGGGCAAGAAGACGGTGCTCCAGGATGAGCTTGACAACTACCACATTGTGTTACGAAAACATGACACTTCAAGACAACTGGAAAGTAATGAGCGACCTTTGCTTATCCAAAAACGATTGCTCGAGCAAGCCGGATATACCGACAATGACCGGCTCGAGGATGTCGGACGAGAAGACAACAGCTATCTGTGCAGGTTCACCTTCCTCCCTGCCAAGATGAGCGGTTACTCCAGTCTGGAGCGAGACCCTGGATTTAGTAAGATGCAAAAGTTTAGCCATATCGATCTTCAGGGACGTAATCTGATTACGATTCCCATCACGCTGTACCAGAAAGCCACCGAGATCATATCCCTCAACCTGTCGCGTAATCTCTCCCTCGACGTACCCAAGGACTTCATCCAGGCTTGTACCAATCTCCGAGAAATCAAATACACCAGTAACGATGCTCGCCGCTTACCGCCGAGTCTGAGCTTGGCCAGTAGGCTGACCATGTTGGACATTTCGAACAACCGTCTGCAGTCGCTCGACTCAGCCGAATTGCACAAGCTGCAGAGTCTACAGGGGCTTCGATTATCCAACAATGGCTTGACAAGGCTGCCCCCATACTTTGGCCAATACCGCGCACTTCGCAGTCTGAACCTGAGCTCTAACTCGTTGAACGAATTCCCAGACTTCTTGTGCGAGGTGCGAACACTAGTTGATCTCGACATTAGCTTCAACTCGATATCCAGTCTACCCAAAATCGGCCAGTTGACGTGCTTGGAGCGACTCTGGGCAACCAACAATAAGCTGACGAGCAGCTTCCCGTCGACTTTGAGCAATCTCGTCAACTTACGTGAGATCGATGTGCGATTCAACGCGCTAGACAGCATGGACGTCATGTCTCAGCTACCAAGGCTGGAATACCTCATGATTGGACACAACTCGATTTCTGCATTTGAGGGCTACTTCCCCAAGATTCGGGTACTGCATATGAACCACAATCCCGTCACTCGCTTCAGCCTCACACAACCCGTGCCATCGTTGTCGGTACTAAACCTCGCTTCTGCGAAGCTGGCGCAACTTCCTGAAGACCTCTTCTCAAAATTGACCGGTCTTACAAAGTTGATACTCGACAAGAACCACTTCTCCTCGCTCTCAAACAACATTGGTATGCTGTTTAGACTAGAGCATTTGAGTGTGGCCCGTAATTCCCTCGACGTTTTGCCGGCTGAAATTGGGAAGTTGGTAGAGCTCAAATACCTGGACGTACGCGAGAACAATCTCAGTGTACTCCCATCAGAGCTGTGGTACGCGCGACGCTTAGAGACTTTGAACGTTTCGTCAAACATACTCAACGCATTTCCCAAACCTGGTACTTCACCGCCGCAGGTTCCGAATGGTGAAGTATCAAACTTGGATGGCGCTACTCCGGCATCAACACCAGGACTAGGGCCAAGCCCTAGCTTTGAAGAGCTCGGTAAATTGGAGGACTTCCAAAATCGCCGTCCTAGTCAGGCTTCTGGAGGACAGTTGGGAACCTCACCGGCTTCGTCACAGCGCAAGGCGTCATTGGCTTCGTACAACTCTGCAAGCACTGTGCGCAAGCCATCATTGAATTCCCGTGGGACCACTGAAGGAGTCTTGACACCCGGGACTATCACGCCCATGTCCCGTAAAGATTCGACTCTCTCTAACAAATTGGTCACAACGTTTGCGGGGTCCTTGCGACACGTGTTCTTGGCAGACAATCGCCTTACAGATGATGTGTTTGACGAGCTGTGTCTGCTACCGGAGCTGCGGATCGTAAATCTGGCGTACAACCTCATCTATGATGTCCCACCTCGCACCATTCGCAGATGGCAACATTTGGCCGAACTATATCTGTCAGGCAATGATTTGACCTCTCTGCCATCAGAGGACTTGGAAGAGGTCGGTTCGCTGAAGGTCCTCCACATCAACAACAACAAGTTCCAGGTTCTGCCTGCCGAGCTGGGCAAAGTGGCGCAACTTGCCGTCTTGGATGTTGCAAGTAACTCGCTAAAGTACAATGTATCAAATTGGCCGTACGACTGGAATTGGAACTGGAATCACAAGTTGCGTTATCTCAATCTTTCGGGCAACAAGCGTCTCGAGATCAAGCCCAGCGGCTCGTACAACGGTAGCGGCATGAATATGCGAGAGGGCCGCGATTTGACCGACTTTAGCTCTCTTACCAATTTGAGAGTCTTGGGCTTGATGGATGTCACGATGATGGCACCCTCTGTACCAGAACAGTCGGAAGATCGGAGAATCCGTACAGCGGGCTCCGCCGTCGGTACCATGGCATATGGCATGGCGGATTCGTTGGGCCGTAACGAGCACATCTCGACCATGGATATGGTTGTCCCACGATTCCGCAGTCACGATGACGAACAGTTGTTGGGGCTGTTTGATGCCCAGCCGCTAGCCGGAGGAGGTTCAAAGATTGCCAAGTATCTTTATGACCACTTCAAGAACCGGTTTGCAGATGAGCTGGAGCGTTTGCGTCCGCAAGAGTCGCCATCAGATGCGCTAAGACGAGCTTTCTTGGGTCTGAATAAAGAGCTGGCCACGGCGGCGTCACAGTCACTGGATAAGAACGTGTACAATGCGCCCGCACAGCCACGTACTGCTCTCCCTGAGCTTGGCGATGACGATCTTACCTCTGGCAGTGTGGCTACGGTGCTTTTTGTGAAGGAGATGGAATTGTACATTGCAAACGTTGGTGATGCGCAAGCGCTGCTCATTCGATCCGAGGGAGGCCATAAGATTTTGACCAAGAAGCACGACCCTGCCGAGCCTAGCGAAAGAGCTAGGATACGTGATGCGGGTGGCTTCGTTTCGCGGCAAGGAAAGCTCAACGACGTACTCGAGGTGTCGAGGGCGTTTGGATACGTACAGATGTCACCTTCTGTCATCGCCTCGCCCCATGTTCTCAATCTCACCCTCGGCGACACAGATGAGATGGTATTAGTGGCTTCTCGAGAGCTCTGGGAATACCTGACGCCAGACTTTGCAGTTGATGTTGCGAGATCAGAACGCAATGACCTTATGCGTGCTGCTCAGAAACTGCGAGATCTCGCAATTGCATTTGGTGCCACTAACAAGATCATGGTCATGTTGCTGGGTGTGAGTGATCTCAAGAGTAAACAGCGCGCACGATATCGCACGCAAAGTATGTCATTGGTTCCTGCCCCAGGCGGTGAGATTGACTGGGGTGCCCAACGCAGGCCGGGCAAGAAGAGGAATTTGGTCGGCGACTCGAAACTTGCGCGACTGGACAATGAGGTCGATGCGCCGACCGGTGAGGTCAGTTTGGTGTTTACGGATATCAAGAACTCGACTCTGCTATGGGAGACATATCCAATTGCCATGCGATCTGCCATCAAAATGCACAATGAGCTCATGCGCCGACAACTACGGATTATTGGTGGATACGAAGTCAAGACTGAAGGTGATGCCTTTATGGTTGCCTTCCGCACCGTCACCTCTGCGCTTCTATGGTGCTTCACCATCCAATCACAGCTTCTTGAGGTTCAATGGCCGCAAGAGATACTTAACAGCGTCAATGGTCAGGAAGTCGTCGACCCAGATGGTAATGTCATCTTCCGCGGTCTCTCCGTGCGCATGGGTATCCACTGGGGTACTCCCGTGTGCGAAGTCGACCCAGTCACAAAGCGTATGGACTATTTTGGTCCCATGGTCAACCGCGCCTCACGTATTTCCTCGGTCGCCGACGGCGGTCAAATCACAGTTTCTTCCGACTTCATTGCCGAAATCCAGCGCTTGCTCGAGACGCACATTGAGGGCGACCGCAGTAACAGTACGGGGAGCGAGGAGGCCTACGGAGACGACATCATGTCTCTGCTTATTCGGCAGGAACTGCGCTCTCTCAGTTCCCAAGGGTTCGAAGTCAAAGATCTGGGTGAACGACGTCTCAAAGGGTTGGAGAACCCAGAATACATCTACCTCATGTATCCGCACTCGTTGGCATCCCGTCTCGCCGTGCAAAGACAGACGGAACAACAGAAGCCTCCGGCGCCAGCTGTCGAGGGCACTGCGGCCCAGAAGATGGCGGGCAGTCAGTTGACGATTGATACGGAGGATGTGTGGGATTTGTGGAACATTAGTCTGAGACTCGAGATGCTGTGTAGCTCGCTGGAGAGCCCAGGCTCGACGGAACTCAAGCCCCCCGAGACGGCGCTGTTGGAAAGGATGAAGAGCAGGGGAGGCGAAATCACGGATCGATTCTTGGTCAACTTTGTCGAACACCAGATTTCAAGGATCGAGGTATGTCATTCGAGAACATGTTGACGATGGGGAGCGAGAGGAAAACCAATACTGACGATTTGACCAAAAACAGACGTGCGCAACCACACTTGCCCTCCGCCATCGTGTCCGCCCCTTTGGCTCCGCGCCTCTGCTCGAACAAGCCTGTGCCATGGGCGACATCTTTGCCGAACTCGAGGCCAAGCTCAAACGATTGGAGCAGTACGAGGCAGAGGCCATGTCGGATATGGCGCCTTCTTGAACTCCTCGGACATGCAAGGCCGTGTTTCTCTGTCTGTACTGACGTTTTTTTTTCATGTTTTTTTGCAAACGCATATGAATACGAATACACACCACGTACGACGGATACTTGTAGCATCACACACATGACGTGCAGGAAGGCTATGTGGGCTTTGTGGGCTTAGCTAGCACCCTAATCTCACAACGACTCTTTTTTGTTTTTTATTTTTACATTGATCTTTTTTTGGGGGGGGGCAGTACGTATGATTACGACGATGGAAGTCGGATTTCCAAAAAAAAATCCTGCGCATGTATGCTTTTTTTCTTCCTTTTCTTTCCTTGCTATACACGCCGTTTGCCCTTTTACACAACCCCAAGCAAACCACCGACTTGTCTCCGGCGGAGTGTGCAAATGGTAGGGTTTGGCGTTGTTTGGGTGCGTATATGATGGTCTCGCATGTTGGTGGTCTGGCTTTTCTTTTGGCTGCAGTGCGAGTGGTTGTGCACTGTGGGAGTTGCGCGGGTTTTTGAGCAAACAGTCTGGGGCAGTGTTGGTTTGGCGAGATGGGGAGGGGAGGGTGTGGGATTTGTTTTTTTGATTCGGGTTGGGAGTTGGGTTGGGAGTTGTGCTGGGGGGAGGAGGGAGGGAGATGTAAAGGGAGTGTTACTGCATCGACTAGGTTACAAAACAACAAGTTGGGTTTTGTTTTGTTTTTTTTCTTCTTTGGAGTGGGAAGGGTGGGCGTGGGTTGGGATTTGGGTTTGGATGGGGCGGGGGTGTTTTGGATATGGTGTTGGTGTTGGCGTTTTTTTTTTGTTTTTGTTTTTAAGTTGGAGTGGTTTGGGGTGGGGTCGGGAGCTCGCTCTCCTCTTTTTTTGTGGGCTTGGTCTTGGGGGTTTTTGTTTGGGTTGGAGGGGGATGTGGGCGGGTATGATGGGTTTGGGGTGTGGGAGTCGAAAGGGGGCAGGGAGAGTTGTGGGGATGAGAGTAGGGGCCGCGGTAGGTGTAGGTAGAGAAAGATATGGCGCTGTTACTCTTTTTGCGTTTTTTTGTGGTTTCGGTAAAGGTGTTTCGTCTGGCTGATATTTGTGTGTGTGTGTGTGTGTGTGTGGATCGTACTGTACTTGCTGTACCTGTCACCTTTGCTGTATTTTATTTTTATTTTTTCATAAACCAAATCAGGTGGGCCCGCTAACACATCACACCTCCGTGCTTGGGACAACCCTGGGAGATAAGAAACCTTGGAGGATAAGAAGACGAAAGATGAAGAGAGGTGGAAAGCCTACCCCCGGTCAGAGAGGTTTGGCCGAGAGGAGGATTGTGATTGGGAGGGATTGGGGGTTTTAGGGTTTTAGGGTTCTGAGCTGCTTGCTTGGTGACCAGGTAGAGTGAATGGAGTGAGCAGAGTACTCCTAAAACGTCCGCCCAGTTCTCTTCGCATGGTTGGCTAACCGGTGGATACGAACACGAACACGAATACTAAACACTACTACTGACACCACCCACCACAGCAACACTATACCCATCCCACCACTACAGACCACACACTATCATACACCAGCTACACACCAGCAACCCAGCCATCCAACCCCAACCCATGACGTCGCCCCAACCAAGCGCCAATCTCGCGGGGAAGTGGAGCGAGCACACTTGCACCGTGACTTGCGGGGGGGGTGGGGGGTACATGGATGCGTTGGTTTAGGAGGAAAGCGCAGGCAGATATGTACGTGTGCTTGCATGCTTGTATGCATGCATGCATGTGCGTAGGAGGTAATGCGGTGTGATGTCGGGGTCGGGGATGGGGTTGCGTCATGGGAGGGGGAGGGGAAGTGGATGGATAGATGGGAGGTTGGTGTTGTTCTTGTCCATCCTGTGCGTGTCTCTGTGTGTGTTGTGTGCTGTGTGCTGTGTGCTGTGTGCTGTGTGCTGTGTACTGTGTGCTGTGTACTGTGTACTGTGTATAATACCGCGCACGCACGCACATGCCGTACACCGTACATGCAACACAAGGCTCTCGGCAGGAAAATAAGCAGCATGTGGATGACCGGGATGCGATGCAAGCGTTCGCAGGGATCGCCCCACGCGTGTGAGCCCGGGACCCCTGCTCTGGCCAAGAGCAAGCGCCACGTGAGATTTGGGAGGGCAGACAGAGGACCATGCTTGGCCACCGAAGATTTGCGAGACTTTTTTCTTTCTTTCTTTTTTTCAGGGTGTGTACTTACTGCTGGTGCTGCTGTAGAGGGGGGAAGGGGGGGTGTAAGTGGGAGAGAGTGAAGAGAGGATGGGAGAGGAGAGGTGGTGCCCAGCTGAGGCCTGAGGGGAGAGTGCAAGGTGGATTGATGGCGGGTGGGCGGGTGGCAGGTGGCGGCAGGCTGGGTGCCGACAGATGCTAGAGAACTGTGTGCTGTAAACCCTACTCTAGACCGTCCAGAGATGTCACTCTACTCACTCTACTCCAAGTGCACCACAAATTGCATCGCTTCCACAGTGCAGGGCCACATAGCAAGGTGTGTGCGTGTGCGTGAGACCATCTCACTACCCGTACATGAATGGCTGCATGTTGCTGCGAACGCCCCTGTTCGCTGCCCGCCCTTCTGCTCGCTAGGGCAGCCAGTCAAAGTGGGAAGCCCAGCGGAACAAGGCGAACGAGGTGAACAAGGCCCGGTGGTACTTTGGGCTCGTCGCCGCAGAGACGCCAGCCTAGGCTAGACGGCTTCCATCCTGACTGGTGAATTGCCCGCCTGGCGCTGGGGGGCCACTCTGCACATGGGACAGGCCTCTCTCTGTACCAACCTGTACACTTGGACACAAGTGTCTGACTCTCTTGCGCTTTCTGTCTCTCTGTCGCTCTCTCTTTCCCTTTCTCTCTCTCTCTCTCTCTCTCTCTCTCTCTCTCTCTCTCTCTCTCTCTCTCTCTCTCTCTTGCCCTCTTGCCCTCTTTCCCTCCCTCCTCTGATTTGCCCCCGCCTAGATGGACATGATCGCGGCCTGCACCTCTTCCTCTCTGGCCATGCTGCACCCACGTTCCTGCTGACCCTTGCCCTTGCCCTCCCTCATCCTTTGAAAATTACCATCTGCGCACGCGTTGAAAACTATGGGGGACAATGGCCCTACCGGCACTGCAACAAAACGGCTACCCAGCCCGCCATCTGGGCTCCCCTGTCGACAGCCTCCGCGACCTGCTGAGCGGCCCAGACTCCACAAACAGACGCCCTCAGGACGATTCGCGACGCCTGCGAAGGGTCAAGGATAGCCGGGAGCAGCTCAAGAGCAGGACGCGCATGCGGGCAACGAGCAACGCCACCATCGACACCGCTGCGAGCACCTCGTCGGCCGCCGGTCGCTCCTACACCGTCGCCAATGTCAACAACGGCGTCATCTACCTGAGGTATGTCCTGTCCATGTCAACATGGCTTCCACCGCCGCCTCGATAAGGTACCTATGTACCCATGTACCCATGATGCATGTACACATACTATCCCCGTGACCCTTCTTGCTCTGTTCTTGAGAGCACATGGACCGGCTGGGGCAGGTGCGGCTGTACTGGTAGATGGCTGCAGCTGAGCATCAGCGCGCCCCCCACGCCCACGCCCACGCCCACGCCCACATCCATCTCAGCTCTCTGCAAGAGACATGTGCGCTGCAATCCCCATGACGGCCGGCTAATCTCATCCTTCCGCAGGCCCGTTGTGCGCGCTGGCAACCACCGCGGCCGCCTGCCCCAAGACACCTTCGTCTTCCCTCCCCAAACGCCCCCAGACAGCGCCAACATCGACAAGCTGCGCCCAGCGAGCAATGCATGGGATCAGAGCCTGCAAGGCACCAGGACACCGCGCTCCGAATCATCACCACCACCGCCTGGCCTGGGACCAGACGAAGCAACTCATGACGACGACCACCACCAACAACCATTCGATCCCTCCGCGCGCTCTGGCGCCCACGTGCGCTCTCACTCATTCTCAACACTCGACGACCACACGGCAACCACACAGAGCAACGAGCCCGGGACATTCAAAGTGGTGATTGAGCGACCGCCGTTTGGCCGACCCAAGACTGCAGACACTTCCTCGTTTCCCCTGTTGCAGGTGCCGATTCCGCATTACCGCTTGGGCACACCGCGTTTCAGCACACTGGGTACCGCCGATCTACGAAGCTCCATCTACACGCGCACCTCGGGCGCCGAGGAAGGTGTGCATACCCTCCTCACCCCACACCACCTTCCCTCACGCCCATCGTTTCTGTCATCCCGGCCCACCTCGGACGCCTACTCACCTGTCCCCCACCACTACCGCGCCGCCATGGACCGCGCCCCTCTCCCGATTTCCGGTACCTCGTCCGCTCGCGTCTCACATACTCCGATTGGACCACGATTATACGATGCCCTCACAGTGGACCCCGACCGTGATGCTATCGTCCGCTTCTCTGCCACGGGCGAAATCTTGGCCGCTACGCCCTCTCGACTCGTTGCACACATCACATCCCCCAGCTTTTTGGATTACGAACTCCTGTCTGACTTCTTTCTGACCTTTCGCGCCTTTCTCAGCACCAAGGACTTGGTCGCCTACCTCATCTCCCGCCTCCAATGGGCTGTCGATCGCCAGGATGATTTTGGCCGCATTGTACGAGTGCGCACTTTTGTCGCGCTCCGCCACTGGATCCTCAACTACTTTGTCGACGACTTTGTGCCCTGCTACAAACTCCGGCTTTACTTTTGCAGTCTCGTCAATGACCTGTACAGCAGTCTTCGCGCACGAGAAGACAAGGGAGGCGGAGACATCAAGATTGTCGGCGAACTCAAAAAGTGTTGGCGGCGGACCTGCGCGCTGTACTGGGAGACGGAGGATACGATTGAGCAAAACTTTGCAGACGACGAGTTACTCCCAGGAGGACAGGTCGGATCGCAAATGTCGGCCGAAGATGGGGCTCCCATGCCGCAGATGCCATCCACCCCCAGACAGCCAAGTGCGCGAGATAACAAGGAAACGATGGCAGGCGCGAATCCAAGCGATCAATTCGCTAGCCGACACATGGACTGGGCCCAGAAATTTCGCCATACGCCTCACAACTCGGTGAGCTCGCAGTACATGCCGCAGCAAGAGTACGACATGTCGCAGGTGCCCATTTCGCCCGCGAGCGAGCAGAGTATGCACGTCATTTCCTGCTCCATCCCTCTGGGTATGAGTAAGCCAGACCAAGCCATTGAATTGCCCCTATATCCTCATCCAGTGCCTGCAGGAACTGTACATCAACGCAAAGCCGCAAGTCCTCAACAGCCTCCGTCGGTTAAACGCAACAATCGCCCCATACACACCCACAAGCGTAGTGGAAGTTTCTCGGATGCCCTCAGAGATAGTCGAACGCCATTGTCGATTCCGAAGAATGCCTCGGTGGATACCATGCCCATGCTGAGTAACATGCCCGGCAGTCTTGTACGAGGCGGTCTCATTCAGCCTGCATCGCCCTATTTTGAACTCAAATCTTTGCGCAGCACACGCTCGCAGCGTCTCATGGAGTTTGAAGATACGTCCGACGATCAGCAGAGACCCGGCCACTCATCAAGTCCTGGCATGAAGAAGATATTGGGCACCGTGCGTCGTGCCTTGAGCACTCGACAAGTGTTGAGTTCCAGTCCCCAGCTTGCACCGCTGTCACATCGACAACAGGCCCGTTCCTCTAATCCAGCCACCCTTTCTGCCACAGGAGGTGGCGCTCAAAGACGACGTGTTGTCCGGCCCAAACCACAAGTTCGATGTGACGTGCTTGCAGCCAGGGTAGCCGAAAGTTTCAAGCAAGCCTACCACGCTCAGCTCGAGCGCGAACAGCAACAATCACAAGGTCTGGAACCCCCAGGCCTGGGTGGTTTCGAGTTTGAATTTGCAAGACGCAGTACGTCCACGGTCCATGCGCAGAGCAAGCCATCCCATACGGCGATGGACCCTCGTGTGCAGAGCAACATCACCACCGGAAGCAAGTCGATTATGATCATCGACGACACAGGGGCGCCACCACTACCCGTCATGACTGGTGCTCTGCCTGTGGAGGATGAGCCGGCCGAGGCAAAGGACAACCCCGCTGAAGGTCATCAAGGTGATGCTTGCGCTGATGAGCGATCAGCGCAAGTCACTGTTCCTTTGGTCGCACATCCGGATGTACACGAGGATGTACAACCCCCTGCGCGCCCTGCAAGCGAAATGCGGTCCCTGTCACAGCCTCCACTGCGGTATTCACTAGCAAGGCCGAGAAGATCTCTCTCCGAAGGCAAGATACAGATGCATTCTTTCAGACGCCGAGGCTCGACAAAAACCTCTATTGCTCGATCTTCTCTACGCCGACATGCGTCTTACAACAGCAGCCTTGGTCGACACCGGGGCGCTGACAGTGTAGCCACCTTCCAGACCATGTCTTCCAACAACGATCCTTTCATCTTCGATAGGCAGCCAGTCATCGCAGCGCCTGGGCCTGTACGGCAATTGCGCAGACGCCCAGGTGGAGATCTTCGTGCTGCCGACAATGTGCATGATCTCGAGGTGATACAGCGCCCATATTCTACTGGATCAGTCTCCAACCCTACCCACTCCATCACCAATTCGGTAATCCTTCGTTCGGATCGGTACATCGAGTCGACCATCGGACCAAGCCGCCAAGCCGAAGAGCCTGTGACGGAAGCCCCTAAAAAGACCATCTCGCTAGTGGACACACATTCTTCTCAGCCCAACTTGAGACCCTCGTTTGAGCTTGAAGTGGCAAAGCTCGCAGCTCTGCCAGACGATACTGATGACGAAGGTGGCGTCGAGTCAGCCCTGATGAAGCTGGAGGGCCGTTATGAAAAGAAATCACCGAGCATACCCTCACGACGAGTCACTGCTGATCTCGAGGTATATCAGCCCACTGGAGCACCTACAAGAACTTCACGCCGCATTCCTAGTGAGCACGAGGATAGGCACGTTGATGACCACGGCCACGGTCCGTCTGAAGAGGACAATCGAACCACTGTTCGCCTATCAACCGAGCCATTCACTCGTAGGGTACCTGCTGTCAATTCCGTCGGCGAATCCACGGACTCTTACTCGTCACTCCCACTCCTCGATAGAGACGTCACCAATGTGACTACGTCGCCCAAAGCACCAACGCTCGAGACGATGAGATCGTCAGCCAAGCCTTCGCCCTTGCAATTCCCCAGTCAGCCTCCACCCACCGCATCTTCGGGAGGATCGTCAATGGAATATGTCGTCGAGACCGACAGCATGAAGAGAATACGACCAGGAGGTACCAGGCCCACATCATCGATAGCTCGACAATCTTTTCTCCTCGACGAAGACGAGGATCTCAGCGACTTGGGCTCGACGACGACTGGCGCCAGGTCCGACCATAACAGTCAAGGCGTCCGGAGCTTTTTCGACGACGAGCCAACACCCGCTGATTTTGACGGTCAACCAAGGCATCCCATGCGACATCCAATCACACCGCCTGTCACCACGGATCCAATGAATGATCCAATGCACAATCCCACAATTTTTGACAAGGGCCTGCCAACACCCGGTCTCACTCCCACCACTTCACGACTCGGCCATCCAGGCTTGACTCAGTCTGTGGACTCTCCATTCGCACTCCCCGGCTTCCAACCAGAGCCATCGAATACACCCGCTGCCCATTTGCCCTTTATCCTTGCTTATGATTCTGAAGTACTCGCCCAACAGTTCACCATTGTCGAGAAGGATGCGCTGGACGAAATCGACTGGAAAGAACTCATCGAGTTGCGGTGGAAACAGTCGCGCTCACAGATCCGCGACTGGGTGCAGTACCTCCGTACAGAAGAAGCCAGAGGCGTCGACGTCGTCATTGCACGGTTCAACCTCGTTGTCAAATGGGTCGTATCCGAGTGTGTCCTGATTGAGAATACGGAGGAGCGTGCCCGATGCATTGTCAAGTTTATCCACATCGCCACTCATGCACGTCGCCTCCGCAATTATGCGACCATGTACCAGATTGTGATTGCATTGATCTCAAATGATGTCTCCAGGTTGAAGCATACATGGGCTCTTGTCCCCGCGGCAGAGTTGTACATTATGAGGGAGCTCGAGGGGCTTGTACAGCCGCTGAAGAATTTCCACAACCTGCGACTGGAGATGGAGACGAGCACGGTAGAGGATGGCTGTATCCCCTTTATTGGCATCTACACGCGCGATCTGATTTACAATGCGCAAAAGCCGGCCTTCATCGACGCACCGCCTGTAGACGGGGAGAAGCTCGTAAACTTTGACCGTCACCACACGGCAGCTACGATTGTCAAGAACCTCTTGCGCCTCCTCGAGGCTAGTTCCAAGTACAGTTTCAAGGTGGAACCGCACATTGTATCCAAATGCCTTTGGCTGGCTGCACTGAGCGACGAGGAAATCAGCAAGCGCAGTCGCCAATGCGAATGAGAGTTGCCCACTTTCCTTTACCTACCCTCGGTGTTCCGTTGCCCTGCCCATCCCTGAGGCGATGAGCAAGCGAGCTTTGTTTTCTCATTACCCCACGAGTGCACATCATCTCCTCCTGTCAATCTCCTTTTGGTAATACCCAGTCTGAGCGTCTTGTCCATCGCTGCATCATCATCATCCCGCCACGAGTTTACGACCCATCTTGCTTGCTAGCTCTTGTTGTAATCTGTCCATCATTTGTGTCGTGTCGCTTGCGACTGACCTGTCCTGTATCTGTCCTACGTAGACTGCATTTGTTTGTAAGATCTAATCGCTCACGCCCTGTGGGGCTGGCTCGTCATTTTGTATTTTTGTTTGCTTGTTTATTGATTTCAGATGGAAGTGGGGTTCTGGTTCTGCTTTTTTGGCTTGTTTTTGGGCTCGCGTAAAGACCTAATGTAACTACAGGGCGGCGTTTGTTATCGTTGGGGAAAAAGGCGTGTGGAGAGGTGAGGGGGGTGAATAGCAAGGAAAGGGAAACATGTACATATCATATAGCAATGGCATAATGAATGCGAGTACTCTACTTGGTAGGTAGTATAATACCCCCTTGGATGATGTTGTAATCGAGTTGACATGAGCCTCTCTCATGCGAAGGGCTGGGGGGGCTGGCTCTGGGCAGCCTTGGGGTCCTCAGCTTACGATTAGCACATGACACATGATGAAGGATGGATGAAGGATGATGTTGTATTGGCAATGACAAGGGGCGTGGTGTGCCCTTGGATCGCGCGGAGATGATTGTTGCCATCAGTGCAACAACAACCCAAACTTCAAGACCAATCAAAATGTCTCCCGCAATGCAGCCTCCTGTGCACCGGGTCCGGGTAGGGCTGCTTGATGATCAATGGGCTCGCATGAACAGTGAACACGGGTTTTGTACAAAGGCCAACGCCAAGGCCAACGCCTCCCCGCCGCGCCGGTTGCGCGGCAGGACGGTAGCATGACTGAGCCTCATGATCGACTTCCTGCCCCCACACCTCCACCGTCGCGCCCTTCCTGTATACAGCGCCAGGCCTCCAAGATGTTCGCTTTCTGCGCTACGACGATGCCCGTGTCATCTCTCCTCTACCGGTATACATGCATGCTTATACATAGGCGCATGGGAGAGGGATGCTTGGGTTCGTCGCTTGGGCATCTTGTTTGCTTGCTATCGTTGTCTTTGCGTATATTGGACGTCTGACTGAGCATTGGGGGAAGGCTGCATCTGTGTGCTGCCTTGGCGTTGGAGCGATTGTACGGCAAGTATCGACACGCAAGCAAGCAAGCAAATCAGATTAAGCTGCAGCAAAGACGATCAAACCTCGCCGGTGGTGGGTATGGCTTCTTCTGGGCCACAGCGATCCAAGAGCGATCCTCCTCCGCCGATCATGGTAGAAGATATGGAAACTGGAGATGGGCCGCTGCCGAGTCCAAGTCCGTCGAAGATGAATCGTGAGTGCTTTTTCTTTGCAGTCTATCTGGAATGGTGGGAGCTCATGCAAATGGCCATGTAGCACCCAGAGCATTCACCACCTACACGACGCGATCAGGCTTCGACGGCGCCGAAACCTCTCCCCTCCTCCGCAACCGCGAACCACGCAAGCCGACACTGGGCCACCGCCGCAAACACAGCCCCAACCTCGAATGGCGCGAGAAATGGACGCCCGAGAGCTGGAAGTCGGGTCGCGTGCTGCTCATCGACTATGTCGACAAGGCTCACAGTCCAGAAGGCAAGATGAAGGTTGTGGCCCAGGAGTTTTGCGATATCGACAGTCTCCGACGCTTTTACGGCAAGGAAGATCTCTCTGCGCAGGCGGCATTGCGGGTTATTCACGTGCAAAACGCGCGCTGGGCCACGCGGTTTCTGCTGCGCAAGTACAACATTGATGCTAATGATGATCTGGTTGGCACGACGTTTGGCCGTTGGGCAGGATATGACAAGCCTCAGCAGCGCGGCGGGAAGCCCGTTCTCAATGGCAGAACCTTCCGCGCCCAACGCGATCCCTGGCGGGGCATCTCTCGCACAGCCTTTGGCATCGATTACCTCAAGCAATATCCCCGGGGCACTGTTCGCGACGAGGCGTTGAATCAGAAGCCGATAATGGAACTCAACCATTACAATGAAGACGATCAGCCGGCTCATGGCTTCGATGTCTATGTTCAGCGGCTGAGCGTCTACGTGCAGTTGAGCGATGGGAAATCGGGACAAGCGGTGGACCCGGATATTCCGAATCCGTACAATGAGGAGGCGTATGAGGAGTATCAAAGACTGAAGAGGCACTATGGCAATGTAGACGCGAATGAGCATCGGGAAATGTTTGTGCCCCAACTGCGGACGTTGGATAATGGCAATACGATTATTTTGTTCGAGGGTTCCGTGTCGGGGAGTGTAAAGGACACGTTGATTGGGGCGAGGCAGGGTGAGTTGCTTGTCTGCTGCGTGAGGTATGCCGAGATGGAGAAGCTGATGTGGTTGTGTAGAGCTCGAATCGAGATGGCGACGCCTTACCTTTTACCTTCCACGAGAGGAAATCGACAACGACGATTCCGTTGCAATCCAATGCATGGACTTTGTTCTCAAGGATGTATTCAAAGCCATAGCCTATAATTGGGACAAGTTTGTCGCTGTTTGCGAAACCCATGTCAGTATCCTAGAAGACAAAAGTTCGTCTCTCCTGTCCCCCCCCCCCTTGTTTTTCCTATTCTATCCATTCCAACTAACAAATCCGTCTCATAGTCTACGAAAATCCGGCTGATGAATCTCGTGCCCCTGAACTCTGGAAAAACAGCGCGCAATGGCTCAAGGTAGAACGTCTCATTTACATCCATGTCGACGTCTCGCAAGAAACTCGCGGCTATCTACACGAACTGTTTGGCTCTGACCCACACGACGACACCCCCTGGCTCGGCAACGCACCCGACGACCTTGACAAGCTCACTGGACAGTGGGAGCGCGACATTGTCGGTCCCACGACCGCCCTGTCAGACCTCATGTACAAGAGCGTCGGCATCCGCGACGCACGTCACTCCCTGCAACTGGGACTCAGCATGTGGCGCCTCAGCTGGATCACCTTCATCTTCCTCCCGCTCACCTTCACCGTCGGCTTCTTCGGCATGAACGTCGACGTGTTTGCCGCGAACCCGCAGATCAAATGGTGGTTCATCACCAGCGTCCCCGTCCTCCTCACCGTCCTCGTCCTCTGGTACGCCGTCAAACACAGTCTCTCGCGGCAGCGCCAGAACCCGCTGCGCAGAGGCGTCTACGAGGCCCTCTACTACGAATTCGCAACCGAGCACGCCGAGCTGTGGACGAGGGGCGGGCCGCGCGAGGACGTGGTGCCGGTTGGGTGGGCGAATGCGCTGCGCTGGCGCCTGTTGACGACGTGGTTTGGCGGCGACAAGTTGAGACTTGTGCGCCGGACGGATCCTGCGACGGAGGAGTTTGGCACTTGGAGTCGCGTCAAGCGGTATTTGGCCAAGCGCTGGTTGGATGAGCTGGTGATTATGCCGCAGGGGTCGCCGCTGCTGCCGCCGGGGTCGGGGGGAAAGGGAGGGTCTGGTGGTGGTGGAAGTGGAAGTTCTGGTGCTGACAAGGACACTGAGCCTCTGGATTTCATCCCTTTTAAGGAATTGCGCATGCAGCAGTCTCGGCATAGGCTAGGCGCGGTGGGCGATTTGCTTAGCATAGCGACCCCGGTTGCGATTGCTGAGCTCGATCCTACGGCTGCGAGTCGCATGGCTGGTGGTAGCAATGGCGATAGCAATGGCGGTGGTGGTGACAGTGGCAGTGGCGCTGGCGCTGAAAGTGGAAGCAAAGGTGGAAGTGGCAGTAACGATGCAGTCGCACATATTAAACCCAATGGCAACACAGCGATCACACGACCCCGTCCCCCCCGCGACCACCGCAGTCTCGGTCCGGCGCCGGGCCAGAAGCGGCCGGGGAGTAGTGCGGGGAGTAGTGAGGGTGGGGTTATGGTGGAGGAGAAGGGGGTTAGTGAGGATGAGGGGAGGGGGGGAGGATTGGGGGGTACGGGGGATGAGGGTAGAGGGCGGGGGTAGAAGTCACTGTGGAGATGTGGTGTACGCTGAGGTTCTGCACTGTATACGGTATACTGCTCATGCATACTGCTCATGTATCACACTGCTGTTGGAGTTGCTGTCGGATAGGCTTGAAGAAGAAGGCAAAGGTGGAAAACGGGTAGAGGGTGCAAAGCGCGCGGGGATTGGAATCGGGCTTTATACATTCAACACAGTCCAAACATTGATCAAAATCATGGGATAACAAACAAGCAAACACCAGCATACGGCATATTCCAACAACTAACAACAGCAAAACCCATCCTTCCCCCCCCCCCCCCCCTTTTTTTTTCCAGGGTTGAACCCGTGGGAGCTGGGAGGGGGGGGGTGGGCCCTAGTTTCCCACACAGGCTGTGAAACTCTGGCTTCTCCCGGGCCCCCGAGGGGAGGCCATGATATAGATGACCGAATGCCATGGCGACCACACCCTCTCTGGCCCCCCCGGCAATTCACTCTATT